TCTCTCTCCTCAGGGCTCTGGGACTGTTGTGTACACCCAGGATTGCATAGCCCAGACTTCCATCCCTGACCTCTACCCACTCACTCCAGTTCTGCCTGCTACTGAATGTGCATATGCGTGTGCACGCGCGCACACACACACACACACCACAGCAATACAATGATTCACCTTCTTCTCTCTCTTTTTTTTTGAGACAAAGTCTCACATGTAGTTCAGGCTGGCCTCAAACTCAATATGTAGTCCAGGCTAGTCTCAAATTCTCGGCATTCCTCCTGCCTCAGCTTCCCATCACCTTCTTCTCTCTCTTTTTTTTTTGAGACAAAGTCTCACATGTAGTTCAGGCTGGCCTCAAACTCAATATGTAGTCCAGGCTAGTCTCAAATTCTCGGCATTCCTCCTGCCTCAGCCTCCCAAGTGCTAGGATTACAGGCATGCACCACCATGCCCGGCTCCAGATCTACTTTAAAGGAAAAAACGTCCAAGACTACATCAGTCTTCTCTGCCCAGCCCCCATGTTTCCGTTCCTGGTTATTAGAGTTACCATTCATCCAATAAGCATGCCAGAATCCTACGAATTTATTTCTCCCTTCTTCGCCACCAGACCCCACCAAGCCAGTGATCACTAAATTTAGTACGTTCCTTACATTTGTCTGTTCCTCTACCTAAAATCTGTGCTCCTTCATAAACCACTAGAGACCACTTCCAGCTTTTCCCTGGTGAAACTCACTATCTCCTCAACCTTCCTCAATTCATCTGTGAGAACCATAGTGGGTTGTAAAAAGTATCCTAAATTCTTCAACACTCATGTCATCAAATGGTGGCTTCGAGTCGCTTCCTCGCATCTGGGGTTTATTTACCGACTGTCCTGTCCTGTAACTTCTGAGGCTGAGTCACACAGCTTCCTCGGAGTTCTCTTGGGACACATGCCTGTGGAGGCCTGAGCCATGGTAAAAGTCCCCTACCTTGGGGCTGCCAGGCTGTGAGGAAGCCAGGTCATCAGGAAGCGCCATGTGTTGTTCCCACCAACAGCACCCCCTGAGGTTCCCAGCTGATGGCCAAGATCAGCGCCAGATGTGGAAATGAAGATTCCTGCAGGTTTCCCCACCTTCAGCACTTGCATTACTCTCTACTGTGGAATTTTCTCAGTTGTGGCCCCAGATATCAGACCTCATCAGCCATTCTCCTGATACCTTCTCCAAATTTATGAGCCACAGAATCCATAAGTATAACACATTGGTAAGTCTGAAATAATTTTCTAAATGCCAATAGCAACTGAGTGACACTACCCATCTCGCATAAAGCATATTCTTTTTATTTAAATTATAAGATCAGCTCCAGGAGCACAAGGATTTTTGTCACTGACCCTTGTACACATGCCTAAAAGAACACAAGTACTTCCAGGGATTTAGCTCCGTGGCACTGTGCCTGCCTCACAAGCTCAAGGTTCTGAGTTCGTTCCCTGGTACGAAAAAAAAAAAAAAAGAAGAAGAAGAAGAAGAGGAAGGAGGGAAGAAGAAGAAAAACCAAGAAAGAATACAGGTACGTGGCAGATGTTCAATCCATATTTATTGTTAAATTTATTTACTGTATCATTTATTTGCTGAAAATGAACGAACCAATGAGTGAATGAATGAACCCTTTCTGCTTCATTCTTCTCTCCATTGCATCCCTCTTGTCTTAGTCCACAAATGTATTATTTCCTGCTTAGACTGCAATTACTTCCTATCTCGTCTTACTTCTCATTTTATCACCTACCATCTGTGCTTCATACTTCACACAGTTATCCTAAAATACAGATTGGATCCTATTGCTCCTGCCAGCTGACATGCTGAATCTGGGTTGGGCATGTTTGTACCCTAGTGACCAGTAACTGAACAGATCAGGGACTGGGAATGAAAACTAGCACATGGCTGGCTAGGAAAATTCCAGTGAACAAACTACAGTCATATCCTAGTGGTGCTGAAACTATATCACCGAGCACTGATCCTGGGATTTTATCTGAAGACCATAGATACATACCAAAAAGCAAGAGAAACTGGCTTGCAGAGCCAAAAGGTAAATGGAACCATGGTCTGAACAAAACAGCATCCTAGGACCGACCATAGGACCCCAAATAAAGATAGATCAAAAGACATCTGCTTTTGACAGCATTCTAGTTTCTTGATTCAGCGCCCATCAGACCCATAGTTCCTGGGAGGCCTTTCACTATTTGTTCTGACACGAGTGATTTTTGACAACAACTATTTCAGTATCTACCCCAAATAAAGATAGATCAAAAGACATCTGCTTTTGACAGCATTCTAGTTTCTTGATTCAGCACCCATCAGACCCATAGTTCCTGGGAGGCCTTTCACTATTTGTTCTGACACGAGTGATTTTGACAACAACTATTTCAGTATTCGATGTCTTTACATACGTTGCTGTCTCATCTGGAAGCCTCTTCTCACATTCATCCCCTTTCGCTGAAGTATCATTCAGTATCTGTCTCAAGCATCTTCTGAGAAGTCTCCCCATAAGACTCTCTACTTGGCAGTACCCCAGTACATAATAAATACCTGTACTATGTGTATTGATTGCACAGCACTATAATTATTTGTTGATAAACCTCTCTTCTGCTTTGCAATTGTTATCTATGTATTAGAAATTTTCACCTATCGGTTACAGAAGCCCTGATTCTGATAAACCTTTAGGAAATCAATTATTTTGTCATTAGTTGATGGAAGGGCAGTCTCGGTTTGATTATTCACTGACTCAATAATGTTGACAGGGAATCCAGTTTTTCCTCTACTGAACTAACCTCAGTATTGACTGCACCTTGGATTGGCAACAGTGGCATTCACAGCACTTAAATGATATGTAGGGAAAAGGAATTTTTTTACAGAAGCATCTCTTTCCCCAAGGATCAAGACACAGACCCATTTCGGAATCAACCAACCAGTGGGGTTAGTTTACCAAAGGACAGAATTATCACAATTGACTTAAACCAGTCACCTGTGGGTGAGATGCACATGGGACCAGCAACTTCTCTGCCAGAAAAGAGACAAGTAGGCAAACACTTTTAAAAATTTTTTCTCAAAGCATAGATTTTTTTTTTAATCTGGAACTGAAAGGGGCTACCTCTAAAAGTTTTTGTATTTTCAGGTCTTCATACAGGAAAGATTTATAGCTAACAAAAATTGTATTATAAATCACTTAAAGCAGATTTATTACTAAAGATTAAAGTGTGTTATACAAAATGACATTTGTTAATATAAACAAATACCCTCTGAAAAAGAAGCATAGGTCACTATGTCTTCAGATCTAGCCCTTCAAAAATTTCCTTGTAATATGATTAATAAATAATTTCTCTGAAACAAGAAAATCATGTATATGTTTGCAGGTGATTAATCTCAGTGCAAAATGAACAGAACCTTTTATTTATGAATAAATTACTCCTCTCATTACCTTTGCTGCCTCGTGTGTGCCATGTTGTTTCTCCTCCATGATGCCTGTTCACCATCCCTGCCTTAAGCCAAACAAACCCCTTCCCCTTTAACTTTGGTTGTCAGATATTTTGTCTTAGCAACAAAAGAAAAGTAATGAACACAGAAATTTGATGCCAGAGAAGGGAGGTCATTGTTGTAACATTACCTGGCCAAGTGGCTCAAAAGATTTTAGATCTCATGGAAAAGGGAAGAGTTAGGGCCAGGGATTTAGCTCAGTGGTTCTGCCGCCTGCCTCACAAGGCGGAAAGTCCCGAGTTCTGATCCCCGGTACCAAAAAAACAAACAAAAAAAGAAAGGGGAAGAGTTAGGAAAGTTTCAGAGATGTCAGCCATAGAAGTACAGCTGGAACACCTTAGGCTGTGCTGTATGGGAGATTCTGGTTAGAATTCAGAAGACCAGAGACCTGGTAAACACCGGGCTCCGGAACTTTCTGCTGGGAAGGACTGCATTGGCTGCTGGACTCCAGACGACGTGTGTTATGGCTTAGCAGAAAGTTTGGCTGCATTTTGTTCATGTCCAGAGACTTTTCCTGAGACTGAGATTAGGGGCGGTGGACTAATTAATCTTGCAGAAGAGATTTCAAGGCAATTGAATATTGAGGCAGTGGCATGGCTACTGTTGGGGGCTTTTAGCCAGATCTATGTTAAGAGTCAAGAGCAAAGAACCAGCAGAATTACTTTAAATGTTTTGAGTTTGGCCAGTAAAGTTGTGCTCCAGTACTGGAGCTGAGCACCAGTAAAGCTGTGGACTGCAAAGACAGAGCAGAAGAGATCTTGATCGCTGAGAAAGAACAAGAGAATAGTGAAGATGGCTTGAGGGGGTCATAGGAAGCAGCGTTTAAGTTGTGAAGGTGAAAGAATTTCTGTGGGAAGAACTCCCCAGAGAGCTAGGTTCCAAACTGGTGGCGGCCCCACCCTGCTCCAGAATGGCAGCAGCCTAGAGAATTGGTTCCTTGGAATTGGGTTCAGAATGTTCAGCAATCAAGGCACTCAACCCCTACAGCCAAGAGAGGAGGAAGCTTGGTTACATCTCCAGCTGGCAACCGACCTTGGTGTCATCCATGAGGCTGCTTTTAGACCCACGCAGAATGGAAGAGTTGTGGGGTCGGAAAGGCCTCCACCCAGATTTCGGAAGAGGGCCTGGGAGGTCAGGCAGGGAGCCCCTGAGAGGGCAGTGTGTGCAGCTGTGAGTAGAAGCTGAAGGTGCAGTGGAGACCCCAGAAGTTTGCAGAAGTCGGGAGCGTGCACCCTCTGAGGAAAACTGCAAAGAGGGAGCGTAGCTGGCCCCAGAGAGAATGCATGAGAGCTACAACCACTGTAAGCACCATAGGGGCAGAGCCACACAAGCCTCTGGAGTTTACAACTTGCCACAGATTGCCTTGTATGCTGGAGTGAAACTATGGGATGGAATGTTTGCCCTACTGGATTTAGGACTTGCGTTGGTCCCATTCCGCGTGTATACCCTATTTGTACCTTTTGGAGTGGTAATGCTTATCTTGTGCTGTTGAATATTGGAAGTGTTTAAGTTGCTTTCATTTGTACAGGGGCTCACAGCTAAAAGGATGCCTTAAATTTCAGAGGTCTTGGGACTTGGACTTTTCAGCAACGCTGAAACTATGAGGACTTCAGCAACTTTTAGAGATGAACTAAATGCCTTTTTGCATAAAGGGATATGCATGAGTCTCTGAGGGGGCAGGGCTGGAATGCCATGGTTTGTGTTTAGATGCCACCACACCACAAAGCCTAATTCAGATTAGGTAGGACTTTCTTTTTCAGAAGTAGTTTAATCTGGAGTATATGATGCCAGGGTTGAGGGCATGTGAGTACTAAACCACTACACATGAGTGATTGGTTTGGCACTGTCCTAACCCCAGTTGTTGGAACAAGATAAAAGGGCAGAAAGATGCTGGTAACTCTTGTTGTCTTCGCCACCTTATGCATGTCATGTTGTTTCTCCGCTAAGATCCTTGTTTGCCATCGCAGACTCAGAGCCAGCTCATATGGACTGAAAGCTCTATGAACTGAAAGCCAAAGAAACCCCTTTCCTTTAAAAAACAATTACGGATAGCTATATGGTCTACTCCCTTGATAAAACACACTGGTTCATGTACCAAAGCCAAAAAGAATATAAAATTAACCCTGTAAGATCCAAATAGGGGAGATAAATCTAACATCCGGCAGGGACCACCTTTCCCCCTTCTGCTCATTGTTGGCCCATCCTTCACACAGCAAACAAAACAAGACAAAATTTTTTTTAAAGCCTTGCTCTGGGAGTTTTTAACTTGACAACAGAGAGATCTTGTCTTTAAACTACTGGTGAAATTATGAGCCTAGAAACAGCTGTCAGACAAATTTCCATTTGTATCTAAGTGTTAGAAATTTGGAGGAAGCTAATCTGGGAAAATAAAGATATTGTAAAGAGAGAAGCAGAGAAAAGACTGACCGGATCCTTATCTGAATCCTACAGGTCTAGTTGCAGCTTTGCCTTTCTACAAGTTTCCTATACCTGAGCTAACTGAATTGGGTTCAGTAACGTGAAATGGGCATCTTGACTGATCTATACAGCGTAAGTTTAATCTCTGCAGTTGTTTTATTTATTTTTAAATATGTCACTAAATATATGTTTGGGAGCAGTTTCTATTTGACACCTATAGTTGTGAGGGACACAAGGTACATGCCACACTAGTACTGGATTACAATCCACTTTTTCTCCCTCAGGTAAGGTTCCCGTGATCCTCTTATGCCAGTACTAGGATGGGTAACGGCTGCTGTGAGGTTGCCCTTCAGGACGTCCCTCCCAATTTCCCCATTGCCTCGCTCAAGGCCAGAAACCCCGCCTCCAGGCAACTGCTTCCAGTGACTGCTCTAGGTCTGTGCAAGGGCCCAACTCTCTCACTCCAACTCAAGACAACTCTGAAAGGCCACCTAGCCTCAGAGCTCACTGTAGGTGCACTGAGGATGTCATAGACGCTGCAGTGCAATCTGTTTTCTCCTGCACAAATGCTTTTCTTCTTCCTTCCTTAGGCATTGTTTCTAATACCACTCCACAATCAACCCCACCACTCCAATCTCCATCTCAGGGGCCAACCCCTAAGAAACCAACCCGTGACACAACATCTATGAGAAGCAATCGAACTGTGAAAATATTATGCAACCCTTCAAGAAAAGCTCAATAAATATTTCATGGCTCCTTACATTTATGTAGCACTCTGTTGCACATTATAGAGAATATAATAGAAGTATAAAGTTTGTGCCCCATCCTTAAATATGTGCCTTGTCCTTAACTCATGCTCTCACTGAAATGAAGAGCAAAAGGATGCCAAAATTACTACACAGCAGAATAATATAGATAGATAGATAGATAGATAGAGATATAGATATATTGCATCATGCATTCATTAGTTAATTAATAGGAAGAGATATGTGTGAGTTGGAACAGATTATAAAATTTGTGCCCAGACTACAATTAACACTGCCACCTTCCTTTTTTCTTTTTGGTACCGGGGATCCAACTCAGGACCTGTGCTTGTAAGGCAGGCACCATGCCACTGCTAAATCCCCGGCCCTTGCCTTTCCTTTTATTCATTAACACACTGAAAGATATTTCTCCCAGGGGCCTTAGACTAACCCAGGAATCCCCTTTCTCACTTGTAGCTCTCAAGAATAACTGTAGAATGCTTGGGGAATGCACAACCTGAGGTAAGTTAGGCGCTGCCAGGACAGCCCAGTCTGTTACTAGCTCCAAGTTGAAGTAGGATGGTCTTGAATGAGTTGGCCCAGAAATTCACATGACCTCAGGATATAAAACCCAAGATGGGCTGCTTTACAGGGTCCCTCAGCAGTGGTACACATGAGGTATGTGCAGAGAAGATTCCATCCACCTTTGGAAAGGACCAGCTTACCCTGAATCATAGGCTTCTACTGTTCCTTATGGCCTATCTGTAAGTAATATAGTTGCTTCATATAACTTGTTGTATGTGTGTGATCGGTCACATGAGACTCAGGTACGTAGTGTTAAGTGCAGACCAAGACAGAGTGGGCTAAAGTGGTACCTGTGCTCAGTGAACATGCCTCATGTCTACTTTACTATCTCTCTCTTTGTAACAAAAATAAGATAAATAATCCAAACAAACGCAAGATTCTACTTTGATTTGGATTGGGTCTCTTTTCAGGGAAAAGATCCTGAAATTGTTTCACATGCCAGAGCATAGCTGCTCACACTCTGTGCATGGCCAAAATGGACCAACCACGTTCCCACCTCACAGCCTACGGAGAACAAGGGCTCCTCTACAGTCCGCCGTGACTGCTACCCCGTGAAGGCTGTATCTCCTGTCCGTGCAGTGCTCTGTTGCCCTAGAACGTTACCTCCAGCGGTCCTCGTAGCAGTCCTGGACAGTGATAGCAAGCCTACAGCGCGTGAGCCACGCTGGGCTGTCTGTGTCACCGAAAGCTCCAAAAGGTTCTCCGTTACTGTTTAGGAGCTAGAAAAATAGGTATCATTGTGTCCCCTTGCAGAGAAACAAAAAATAAGGTTTTGAGCTGATATTAAATCTTCTTATTCTTATTCTTCATTTTTACACAGACTATTCATGGTATTCTGTTTTTACTGATACCAATTGATAGTTATGGGTTATGGTAGTAACACAGGAATTAATATATTTAGTTCTAGTTCTAGTAGTTAAGTTTTGCACATAGTGAGGGTCAATCAATCTTAACAAAACAGAATTTCTACTATTGCATATATCCTTCAAAAATCATACATGAGTAAAAATCTTGATTTTGAAAACAGCAGTTTACACAATTAATTGCACCCATATTTGAACAAACACGTGTGCTTTGCTCTAAATAATAAGTATACTTAACTCCTACCTAGGGTACTATTTATAGTTACACAATTCTCTACAAGACAAAAACTAGATTATATTGGAAGCCCTTTTCCTTTTCTGCTCTACTGTATGGCATAACATTCAACTCTTAACTGAGACACACTTATTTTGTAGGTATTCTTTTTTTTTTTTTTTTTTTTTTTGTTC